TTTCAAAGACCGCAATATCCCCCCCCCCTCAGTGGTCGAGAACGCCCTCAACCGTGTCTCCCGCATTTCCCGCAACTCATCCCTCACACCCCGTCCCCGCAATAACAACCAAAAAAGAATCCCCCTCGTCTTCACGTACCACCCCACCAACCTCCAGATCCAACGCATCATCCTCCGACACTTCCGCCATCTGCAATCCAACCCCACCACCAAAGACATCTTTCCCTCCCCACCCTTATCTGCTTTCCGGAGGGACCGCTCTCTCCGTGACTCCCTTGTCTGCTCCACACTCCCCTCCAGCCCCACCACACCCGGCACTTTTCCCTGCAACCACAGAAAGTGCTACACCTGCCCCCATACCTCCTCCCTCGCCCCCATCCCAGGCCCCAAGAAGACTTTCCACATCAAGCAGATGTTCACCTGCACATCTGCCAATGTGGTATACTGCATCTGCTGTACCCGTTGTGGCCTCCTCTACATCGGGGAAACCAAGCCGAGGCTCGGGGACCGCTTTGCAGAACACCTACGCTCGGTTTGCAATGAACAACTGCACCTCCCAGTCGCAAACCATTTCAACTCCCCCTCCCATTCCTCAGACGACATGTCCATCCTGGGCCTCCTGCAGTGCCACAACGATGCTACCCGAAGGTTGCAGGAACAGCAACTCATATTCCGCTTGGGAACCCTGTAGCCCAATGGTATCAATGTGGATTTCACAAGCTTCAAAATCTCCCCTCCCCCTACTGCATCCCAAAACCAGCCCAGCTCGTCCCCGCCTCCCTAACCTGTCCTTCCTCCCACCTATCCCCTCCTCCCACCTCAAGCCGCACCCCCATCTCCTACCTACTAACCTCATCCCGCCCCCTTGACCTGTCCGTCCTCCCTGGACTGACCTATCTCCTCCCTACATGCCCACCTACGCTCACCTTTACTGGCTCCATCCCCGCCTCTTTGACCTGTCTGTTTCCTCTCCACTTATCTTCTCCTCTATCCATCTTCTATCCGCCTCCCCCTCTCTCCCTATTTATTTCAGAACCCCCTTCCCCTCCCCCATTTCTGATGAAGGGTCTAGGCCTGAAACGTCAGCCTTTCTGCTCCTATGATGCTGCTTGGCCTGCTGTGTTCATCCAGCTCTCCACCTTGTCTCGGATTCTCCAGCATCTGCAATTCCTACTGTCCCTTCACAACCTCTTGGTTACGCTGAAGCTGATGTTTGAAACATCAAACTTTCCCCATTTTCTTGGTGTGGTGAGAAGTTAATAAGGAACATCATAATCTGAAGCAGAATTCTGCCTGTATGGTAATGGGAGGGCAATTCTGCTTGTATTGTAATAGCAATGTGGTGGGACTGAATGAGATGTCATTGAGACTGTCAACTTGAGACTGTCAACTTGAGACTGTCAACTTGAGACCAGAAGAAATGTGGGTGAAAGACTTTTTTTTTCCCTATTCGTTTGTGGGATGTGGGCGTCGCTGGCTGGCCAGCATTTCTTGCCCATCCTAGTTACCCTTGAGAAGGTGGTGGTGAGCTGCCTTCTTGAACTGCTGCAGTCCTCCTGCTGTAGTTGACCCACAATGCTATTAGGGAGGGAATTCCAGGATTTTGATCCAGCAACAGTGAAGGAACAGCGATATATTTCCAAGTCAGGATGGTGAGTGACTTGGAGGGGAACTCTGAGGGGTGATGTTCCCATATGTCTGCTGCTTTTGTCCTTCTAGATGGAAGTGGCCATGGGTCTGGAAGGTGCTGTCTGAGGTGAATTTCTGCAGTGCATCTTGTGGATAGTACACACTGCTGCTACTGAGTGTCGGAGGTGGAGGGAGTGAATGCTTGTGGATGTGGTGCCAATCAAGCGGGCTGCTTTGTCCTGGATGGTGTCAAGCTTCTTGAGTATTGTTGGAGCTGCACTCATCCAGGCAAGTGGGGAGTATTCCATCACACTCCTGACTTGTGCCTTGTACATGGTGGACAGGCTTCGAGCAGTCAGGAGGTGAGTTACTCACCACAGTATTCCCAGCTTCTGACCTGCTCCTGTAGCCGCTGTGTTTATGTGATGAGTCCAGTTGTTGATAGTGGGGGATTCAGTGATGGTAACACCATTGAATGTCAAGGGACGGTGGTTAGATTGTCTCTTGTTGGTGATGGTCATAGCCTGGCATTTGTGTGGCACAAATGTTACTTGCCACTTGTCAGCTCAAGCCTGGATATTGTCGAGGAGTGAGCATGGAGTGTTTCAGTATCTGAGGAGTCACGAATGGTGCTGAACATTGTGCCATTATCAGCGAATATCCCCACTTCTGACCTTATGATGGAGGGAAGGTCATTGATGAAGCAGCTGAAGATGGTTGGGTCAAGGACACTACCCTGGGGAACTCCTGCAGAGATGTCCTGGAGCTGAGATGATTGACCTGCAACAACCACGACCATCTTCCTATGTGTCAGGTATAACACCAACCACCGGAGAGTTTGCCCCCTGATACCTATTGATTCCAGTTTTGCCAGGGCTCCTTGATATCAAGGGCTGTGGCTGTCACTCTCACCGCACCTCGCCTCTGGAATTCAGCTCTTTTGTCCATGTTTGAACCAAGGCTGTAATGAGGTCAGGAGCTGAGTGGCCCTGGCAGAACCCAAACTGGGCGTCACTGAGCAGGTTATTGCTGAGCAGGTGCTGCTTGATTGCGCTGTTACTGACACCTTCCATCACTTTACTGATGATCGAGAATAGACTGATGGGGCGGTAATTGGCCGGGTTGGATTTGTCCTGCTTTTTATGTACAGGACATACTTCGGCAATTTTCCACATTGTCGGGTAGATACCAGTGTTGTAACTGTACTGGAACAGCTTGGCTAGGGGAGCGGCAAGTTTTGGAGCACATGTCTTCAGTACTATTGCCGGAATGTTGTCAGGGCCCGTAGCCTTTGCAGTATCCAGTGTCTCTACTGTTTCTTGATATCACGTGTCGTGAATCAAATTGGCTGAAGACTGGTATCTGTAAAGCTGGGAACCAGTGGAGGAGGCCGAGATGGATCATCCACTCGGCACTTCTGGCTGAAGAAGGCGAATGCTTCAGCCTTATCTTTTGCACTGATGTGCTGGGCTCTTCCATCATTGAGGATGGGGATATTTGTGGAGCTGCCTCCTCCAGTGAGTTGTTTAACTGTCCACCACCATTCACAACTGAATGTGGCAGGACTGCAGAGCTTGGATCTGACCAGTTGGTTGTGGTTTACACAGAGGTTTACAGCATGAAAACAGGCCCTTTGGCCCAACTTGTCCTTGCCACCCAGTTTTCACAATTAAACTAGTCCCATTTGCCTGTGTTTGGTTCATATCCTTCCATACCTATCCCATCCATGTACCTGCCCAAATGATAAAATTGTACTAGCTTTCACCACGACCTCTGGCAGCCTGGTCCAGACACTCACCACCCTCTGTGTGAAAGAATTGTTCTTCTGGACCCATTTGTATCTCTCCCCTCTCGCTTTAAACCTATGCCCTCTCGTTTTAGACTCCCCTACCATGGGGAAAAGCTGTTATCTATGCCTCGTGATTTTACAGACATCTATAAGGTCACCCCTCAGTCTCCTACGCTGCAGGGGAGAAGGGTCCTGTTGATCATGTGACTGTTCGATAAGACCAGAAGTCACATGACACCAGGTTACAGTGCAGCAGGTTTATTTGAAATCAAAAGCTTTCGGAGCAGTGTTTTGAAAGCTTGTGATTTCAACTAAACCTGTTTGACTAACTTGGTGTCATGTGATTTCTGACTGTGACCACCCCAGTCCAACAGTGGCACCTCCACATCTTCAATAAGGTCATGATGGATCATCTGTCTCTTCTCCAGATTACCACCCATTACCCTTGTATTACTGGGAGGTCACAGCTCCATAATCCCAGCCTTGAACGTAGCCAGGTCTCAGAAATGCTGACCAGACAGGAGCTGCTATGAAGAGTTTTCGTTTGTTTGAGATGTGACCAGGTGCTGCATACACTCGATACCTTTTCTTGCAAAGACTGAATTGGATTTCATTTCAGATCCTGGAGATTCTGTGCCAGATACAACAAATCTCGCATGTCATAATCTTTTTATCGAATATGTTTTCTTCAACTTCAATATGCAATTAATCCACTGCACCATTTCAAATGTTCCTGTCAGGGCAAGATTTCAGCAAATGTCGTTGTTGGGAGGTTCGGTCTACAATTTCAACATTCTTGTTTAATGAAATGGGGCGGCATCGTGGCTCAGTGGTTAGCACTGCTGCCTCACTGCACCAGGGACCTGGGTTCAATTCCACGCTCGAGCGACTGTCTGTGTGGAGTTTGCACATTCTCCCCGTGTCTGTGTGGATTTCCTCCGGGTGCTCCAGTTTCCTCCCACAGTCCAAAGATGTGCAGGCTAGGTGGACTGGCCATGATAAATTGCCTGTAGTGTTAAGGGACGTGTAGATTAGGTGGGTTATATGGGGATGGGGATGGGTCTGGGTCTGGGTGGGATGCTCTGTGGGTAGGTGTGGACTTGTTGGGCCGAAGGGCCTGTTTCCACACTGTAGGGATTCTATCAACGATCTATAAAAACAGCTAAATGCAAACTCTTTAACGAATAAAATATTTATTCATTAAAGAGCGGTCATCATTGTAAGTTCATAATAAATTCAACTGGGAATTCAGAAGAAGTCTCTTTACCAGAGTAGGGGGACAATATTGAACGCACTCCCACAGGAGGGAGTTTTTGAGGTGAATTATGTCAATATGTCAGTGGAAGCTGGATCAACACATGAGGGAGAAAGGGGTTCAAGGATCTGGTGATTAGGTGAGATGCTGAAAGGTGGGAGAAGGTCCTGTATGACACAGTTATATGTGGCATGTTTCTGTTCTGAAATATTCTATGTAAGAGCAAGGTAAATGCTTCGGAAACCCAAGATTCATTTATTTTTCTTTCTCAGGGTGCCAAGCAGCAAGACTTTGCAAGAGTTACTGAAAAAATATGTTGATCCAGTGGAGGCTGACCCAGTTATTAGACAGAAGTAAGTACATAGCTTTGTTAAATTTTATTCTTGAAGATGAGAAATTGCAGCTTTTCCCGTTCTGATCCAGAATAGTTCAGAATATGTGTAAGTGGAGAGCATTCTTTACAGTTTCCCATCAGCGTGACATGTAGAATATGTAACTCAGGGTTGGAACTTTAAACTTTTTAATCTGGTCAGGGACCATGGGAACACAGGAATAGGAGTAGGCCATTAAGCCCCTCAAACCTGTTCCACCATTCAATGATTTCATGGCTGATCTGTGGCCTTTGACCCATATCCTTTAATAGCTTTGCTTAACAAAAAAAATCTATCTTGGATTTAAAATTAACAATACACTGATGGGAAACTGTAGAGAATGCCCTCTACTTGCAAATATTTGAACACAAATGAGGCAAAATTAGTATCTCATACATCTCCCAAAGCCCACCAGCAACACACGGAATTGAACAAGAATCTCCTGAAATGTAACAACGCAGCACCGAACCATTCTGGATCAGAACAGGAAAAGCTGATCCAGCATCCACTGCCATTTGTGGGGCAGAGAGTTCCAAACTTCTCCCACCCTTTGTATGTTGAAGTGCTCCCTAACATCTCTCCTGAACAATCTGGCCCTCATTCTCAGACTGTGCCCCTAGTTCTAGAATCCCCAACCAGTGGAAATAGTTTGTCTTTATCCACACTGTAATTTCCTGGTAATAGCTTGAAGACTTTGATCAGATCATCTCTTAATCTTCTAAATTCTAGAGAAAACAGGCTTCATTTAAAAAAAATGCCAAAGAACTGCAGATAAGGGAAATCAGAAATTAAAACCGAAATTGCTGTGAAAACTCCAACCAGGCACTATCTGTGGAGAGGAAGCAGAGTTAATGATTCAGGTCCAGTGATCTTTCTTCAAAACTCTGCTTTCTCTACACAGATGCAGCCAGACCTGTTGAGTTTTCCCAGCAATTTCTGTTTTTGTTTCCCGTTTGTTAAATATCTCCTAATAACCTAAACCCTGAAGTTGAGGTATCATTCTTATAAACTTACATTTTCTCCCACCAAGGCCAATGTATCCTTCCTATGATCTACTGTAACTTAGGTACCATCTTGAAGCCAGTAACAGCAGCCAAAGGCTATGCATGTTAGGGCATGGAATCCATCAGGATCTAGCCTTGCTTCTTCAAATTCTGCTGGCTACACTTCTCACTATTCCTAATTTGGATCTTTGGTCTAGGGGTGCAATTATCGCTTAGTGATAAGCAGGGATTGAGAGTGCATACAGGGATCTTGTGGCACAGTGGTAGTGACCTAGTTCTGTCTGTGCAGAGAGAGAGAGAGAGAGAGACAGTTCCTGTTTCACATTGACCAGTCCAACTGTGATGTAACCTGAGCTCTGTCTCTCTCCACAGAGGCTGCCTGAGCTCCTTGGTATTTCTGTGTGTTTTTTCCAGTAGGCAGTGCCTGATACTGAGTTCCTGCTCTCTGTTTTATTTTACAGGCTGAAGGTTTATACAATGGTTTCTCTCAGTGAATTAAGAATCTTCATGAAGGTAGAAAATCAGAAACATAACTCGATCAGGTAAATGGAGAACAGATCAATGACTGGCTGGATTTTACTGACATTCAGTCACGGAGTGAATCACAGAATGGTTATGTAAAGATGAAGGCCATTCAGCCTGTCATTCCATACTAGCTCTCTACACAAGCAACTCAGCTGGTCCCACTCCTCTGCTTTTTCATATCACCCTGCAATTGTTTCTTTTCACATCAGTGGAACCTGTGTCTGAATGAAACTCCAGCACACTTCAGTGAGCCTACCCTCAGCACAGTCGGTGTTCACTATGAGCCAGATTTGACTCGTGAATCTTAGTCATTTATGACACTGAAGGAGGCCATTTGGCCCATTGAGTCTATGCCAGTCCCTCATTTGATTCCAAAGCCCTGCAGCTTTATTTCCTTTAAGCACCCCATCCGTTGTTCTACTGAAACCATGAACCTGTCAACGCTTGGGACCAGGAGCATAGCCAGGCTAATGCCTCGCTCTGTCCACACGCTGTGATGCTCCCTTTGTCCAAATTGAGCTGGCTTCCTGGAAAAGTCATGTGGGGAAGCTGGGCTAAAACGTTGCAGGGGTTTAATTGAGGTGTTCAAAATCACGATCGAGTAAATCGGGAGAAAGTGTTTCCAGGGGCAGGAAGCTCAGTGGAGACTGATCGAAGGGAATCGGGAAAAACCCCAGAGGGGGAGATGGGGGTGGGATTGTTTTACACAGAGACTTGTTGGGATCTGGAATGTGGCGGCGGGAGCAGATTACTTTCAAAAGGAAATCGGAGACATACTAGGATAGGAAATGTTTACAGTGCAATTAGGAAAGAGGTTTGGAGGTTAGATAGGTCTTTCACTGAGCTAGCAGAGGCACAACAGAATGAATGTGGATTTCACAAGTTTCAAAATCTCCCCTCCCCCTACCGCATCCCAAAACCAGTCCAGCTCGTCCCTGCCTCCCTAACCGGTTCTTCCTCCCACCTATCCCCTCCTCCCGCCTCAAGCCGCACCTCCATCTCCTACCGACCAACCTCATCCCGCCCCCTTGACCTGTCCGTCCTCCCTGGACTGACCTATCCCCTTCCTAACTCCCTACCTACACTCACCTTTACTGGCTCCATCCCCGCCTCTTCAACCTGTTTGTTTCCTCTCCACCTATCCTCTCCTCTATCCCTCTTCTATCCGCCTCCCACTCTCTCCCTATTTATTTCAGAACCCCCTACCCCTCCCCCTTTTCTGATGAAGGGTCTAGGCCCGAAACGTCAGCCTCTCTGCTCCTATGATGCTGCTTGGCCTGCTGTGTTCATCCAGCCCTGCACCTTGTTGTCTCGGATTCTCCAGCATCTGCAGTTCCTACTATCTCTGACAGAATGAAAGGCCTCTTTCACATCAGTAAGATTATATAAATGTGACATTGAGCTCACAGAGACCTTGAGAATAATGTGTGTAACACAGTTGAGATGTTGTCCTTGTGGGTCAGGGCCAAGTGTGTGGATTTCACTGAGAACAACTTACACATGAGCCAAAGAGTCAACCCAGAAGCTGTCTCTGGGGGTGTCGGTGGGAGGTGGTCTTTGCCATGACACTAACTGTTTCAATATGTGTTTTGGCTTTTGTGATGCCAGGATTCTGTTAGAAAGTTCATGAGGTAATGGCGGGAGATGGCCAGAGGCCTCACCTCATTCACGATGTCGTGTTCCAGCAGAACAGACTTCCAAACACATTCTCACTCAACGATCTTCAGTATCTTAATCCACACAGGACATAGGAGTATGCACCAGGAGATGGTACTGTGCTGACTGTAATTAGTGCTGAGTAGGTAGAGCACTCCACTTTGGCTGGGCTCTGAGCTCCGATCAGAGGGAGGGCCGCGCTGCCGGAGGGCCAGCGCCCATTTTCTTGTCAAAGTCTCTTTTGTGGTTTGCCGTATCTTGCAATCTGAGGCGGTACATTCCAGCGTATCTACAGACTGGTTTTTCTCTCACCACTTGTTACTGTTTTTTTGCCCATTACCTTAACAATTGTTTTCTTTCTGTAAAGACCCAGAGCCTCCCTCAGTGCTAGCCATTGGCTATTTTTGGACTTGGAGACTGTGGTTCAAACTGCATCACCAGTTGGATTTATTCTTGCTGGCTGTAACTGCAGCCTTGGCACCAACAGGGGTCTCCAGTGAGCCACAAAACAAAATGCCTTGTCCAGCTTTGCTGTCTTAACGACCAAAAGCCTCTATTTTCCTTAAAGACAGTTTATCAAAAGGGATGAGCGGGTTAGTTATCTTAATCAACCATTTGAAGCAAGCACTTTTCACATTCTGTTTGGGACTGAACTGGAAGTGGAGCTGAGTTTGCACACCTCCTTGAATTACCCTGGATTTTCCCACAATTATTGTTCCAGACAGCGGATTCAATCCAAGGTCTTGGATTTAAAACTATTAGGAAAAGCTGGAGAGAGGAGGGGAGGCGATGGCCTAGTGGTATTATCGCTGGACTGTTAATCCAGAGACCCAAATAATGTTCTGGGGACCCAGGTTTGAATCCCGCCATGGCAGATGGTGGGATTTGAATTCAATAAAATATCTGGAATTAAGAATCTAATGATGACTGTGAATCCATTGTCGATAGTAGGAAAAACCCTTCTGGTTCACTAATGCCCTTTAGGGAAGGAAACTGCCATCCTTACCTGGTCTGGCCTACATGTGACTCCAGACCCACAGCAATGTGGTTGACTCTTAACTGCCCTCTGGGCAATTAGGGATGGGCAATAAATGCTGCTTAAACAGCAATGCCCTCATCCTGTAAATGAATAAAGAAAAAAAAATGTTGCTCTGGAATAGTAACAAAGTGAGGGTTGAAGGGTGGGTGTGCAGATATGAGGGGGACCATTGTTTCACTGAGATATCAACATAATGTGGCGAATGGCCTCTTACTGTGTGATTCTCTGAAAACCTGGAAGGAAAAGAATTGGTGTGTTCAAAGTGTTTGTTTGATTCTTGGCGCTGCTATAATTTAGTTGACCAAAAGAGCTGAATGGTCTACACCTGCCCCTAAGTGGTGTCACTGAGAGGGGGGGACGGTCATGTTTGTGGTAATGTCAATGGGCAGGTAACCCAGAGACCTTGGATAAAGTGCAGGGGACGTGTGTTTAAATCCTGTTGTTGAAGGTAAATTCATTTGAATAAATGTGCAATTGTGGTTCCATGATGGTAAAACCCATCTGGCTGATTAACGTCCTTCAGGGAGGGAAATCTGCCATCCTTACCCGGTCTGGCCTATACGTGACTCCAGACCCACAGCAATGCGGTGGACTCTGAACTGGCCAAGCAAGCTGCTCTGTTGAAAGGCCGTTTGGAATGGGGGTGGGGCTCTGTAGTGCAAGGCTTATTTCCCGATCAGTGGGTCAGACATTCCCAGTTCCAGGCCCTCCTGTGACAGAGGTGTGTCATAACTACACGTCCCCCAAAAGAATAAAGGACTTAAAGTTGTTTTCTAGTGGTGCACAGCAAGATGCCACATGCAGTGATATGCCAATCAGCATCTGGTTTTTAACTGTTGGACCCTGGGATTAGGAATTGGCCCAGAGCTTTGGAAACAAAGAGAAATAGGTGATGCAGATGTTTGAGGGAAGAGGGGAGATGGTGGTGAAGGGGGAATATAAGCAGTTTCCATAAAGTGAGAAAGAACTTGCTGGGGGTTAGCGACAGCTCGGTCAGCCCATGTGAAGGGGAGCACTACAGGCTGGGCCCGGCCCTGTTTGCAGGGCCCTGTCTTCACTGAAGAGTGATCTCAACTCGAGACGTCAGCTTGCTTTCTCTCCATGGATGCTGCCCGACTCGCTGTGATGGCCAGCACTTTTGTTTCCAGTCCTGTCAATTTCTCCCTGATTTCTGTGGAACTTTGTTCATTCACTGCCCCAGCCACCAGGGGCTACCAGTATGCTGCGAGCTGTGCCCACATGCCTGTCCTCGACATGCTGCAATGTCCCAGTGAATCACAGCACAAACTGGAGGAAAAACATCTCCTCTTCAGACTAGGCACTTTACAGCCTTCTGCACTTAATATCGATTTCAACACCTTTAATTGGTGAACCATTTCTTCCCTTTCTTTTAGCTTCTTATCATGTCCTCCCCTCTCAACATCCCGGTTACTGCCCTTTCAAGTCTGGCTGGAGACACACCGTTGTTCTGCCATTCTCAGATTCCGATCACTTAATCTGAACAATCCACATCTTTTCTCCACCAGCACCCTACATGCACTACCCCTGTGGGCACCCCCCCAAAAAAACTATAGCATAAACGCTGTCCCCTCCACACTTCACATCAACTCTGATGAAGTCATATAGACGTGAAACGTTAGCTTGCTCTCTCTGTGGATGCTCTCTGACTCCCTGTGATCCCCACCGTTTATTGTTTTCAGTACAGATTCCAGCAACTACAGTAATTTGCTCCTACGCTGTGAGCCAAGAGTCTGCAGGAACTTCAAGGGCAGGACATTGGTTTGGTGTCACAATGCCCAGTGAGATTTCTCAATGACGTTTATTATCCTTAATGACCCTGAGATCATAGCTCTCACAGCAACTGGATTTATTATTTCATCCTTGTCATCAAAGTAAGAGTTTTTTTTAATTGAAACTTCTGCCCAAATTGGGAGGCACAGAACTTTGAGAATAACTCATGAACTTTAGGAAACTTTTGACTGCATTTCTGAGATTACAGCAGGGACACTTAAGTAATGTTTAAATACTGGACTTTAGTGTTATCAAACATCAGATACTTTAGAGACTTCTAAGCAACTCTTGGGTAGGCACATAGAGGATAGTAAAATGTAGCGTATGCAGGGTAGATTGATTTTAGTAGGATAATTGGTCGGCACAGCACCATGGGCCGAAGGACCTGTACTGTGCTGTACTGTTCTACGTTCTATCACTGCAGAGGAGTGTTTGTCGTGTGTCGATTGAGCTACATAAGTTTGATTGTAGGGGTTGGTTTTAAGGAGCTTCTTAAAGGTTGGAGTAAGTTGGATTTAGGGAGGAGATTCAGGAGTTTAGGGCCCAGGAGCACAACCACTAATGGCAATCAAAATGGGGGGTGCGCAAGACAGAAAGAATTGAGGGAGCAAGGGAATGTTGGCAACACTGGGGAAGCTGGAGGAGATTCCAGAGATAGGGAGCGGTGAAATGTATACAATCACCAAGGGCTTCTATCTGAATGAGACCAGACAGAGTAACCACAGGAAGGATGTTCCCGAGTCCATAACCAGGGGGATACAGTCTAAGGATACAGGTGAGCCATTTAGGACTGAAATGAGGAGAAATGGCTTCACCTAGAGAGTGGTGAGCCTGTGGAGTTCACTGCTACAGAAAGCAGATGAGGCCAAAACATTAAACGTTTTCATGAAGGAGATAGATTATTAGGGCATGGGGCGAAAGCAGAAACAGGGAACTGAGTTAGATGATCGGCCATGGCCCTGTTGAATGGTGGATCAGGCTCGAAGGGCTGAATGGCCTATTCCTCCTCTTTTCTGTATAAAATAGATTAAAACCATAGTAAAACAGCACAGAAAGGTTAAAGCTGGAATGTGCATTATGTACATATGAATATCACAGAGTTGAGAAGAACAGTTTCTGTTTAATAATTACAAACATATGAGTTAGGAGGAGTAGGCCATTCAACCCTCTGCGCCTGCCCCATCTCCGAAACGACCCTGAGTTGATTGGATTGTAGCCTCAACCCCATTTTTCCAGTTTGTGCCCTGTCAGTTGGAAGTCTTCAGTGAGTCAGCCTTGAGTACATTGGATGACCCTCCGTCGGTCTCCGGAGAAGAGAATTCCCCAGGCTTAGTCCACTGAGGCTTTTCTTCATCTCTGCTCCTTCCAGCACTCCCTCCAGATAGCTGAGATCCTGGAATTCCCTCCCTCAGGGCATTGTGGGTCTACCACAGGGGAGGTGATGGCCTAGTGGTATTATCGCTGGACTGTTAATCCAGAGATCCTGATAATGTTCTGGGGGCCCAGGCTCAAATCCCACCATGGCAGATGGTGGAATTTGAATTCAATAAATATCTGGAATTAAGAGTCTAATGATGACCGTGAATCCATTATCGATTGTCGGAAAAACCCATCTGGTTCACTAATGTCCTTTAGGGAAGGAAACTGCCAGCCTTACCTGGTCTGGCCTACATGTGACTCCAGACCCACAGCAATGTGGTTGACTCTTAACTGCCCTCTGGGCAATTAGGGATGGGCAATAAATGCTGCCAAGCCAGCAATGCCTTCATCCCGTTAACTAATTTAAAAAAAACCTACAACACATGGACTGCAGTGTTTCAAAAGGCAGCTCACCACCCCCTTCTCAACGGGCAACTAGGGATGAGTAATAAATGCTGGCCCAGCCAGCAATACCCATATCCCATGAACAAATTTTTAAAACACCTTGTGATCTCCTGAGTGTGGCAGGGAAACCAGGGCCATAAAGTAAATGGAATATTCTGGAGAATTTCTTCTTAAATCTCGTCAAGGATTCTATGTTTAATCCAGCAAGACCTGCCTGCCCCCTCGCTGAGACGCTCCGTCCCCCTCGGATTCCTTATTGAGACAGGATTGGTGAATCTGCAGGCAGCACATTCCAAAGGCTGTATTTCATTTGTTAACGTTTGAATGGTTTGTGAGTGCTGACCTGCCTGATCCATGGTTCCTATTACCATATCCGTTTCACAGTCTTTGTGAGTACATTTGGTTTCCTTCCCTCGTTTTTCTTTTAACAGAAGAAATGTCAGTCTGTGCATTTTTGTTCCATGAGTAAAATGTGTCTTAACTTAGCGTTCTCAGTGTTGGTGACCTCATGTGTATTATAGTGTTAGTCATCACTTTCCGAGGAAGGTATTTACCTAGATCACAGCTTCCAATTATCAGCGCAATACTATTTGGAGCAGTTGTTTGGATGAGCAGCAGAATTCAAAAACCAATCAGTGGCAACTGTACAAGAAGCACCTTGTAAAATTCTCAAATTGGGATAAGCTGACTGTCCTTTCCATTCCTTTTGGAGTACGGTCTGTCAGCTTCCACAACTAGACTTTATCGTGTACAGAAGTTGCTGGAAAAGCTCAGCAGGTCTGGCACCATCTGTGAAGAAAAATCAGAGTTAACCGTAAGACATAGGAGCAGAAATTAAGCCATTCGGCCCATCGAGTCTGCTCTGCCATTCAGTCATGGCCAATAAGTTCCTCAACCCCATTCTCCTGCTTTCTCCCCGTAACCCTTGATCCCTTTGATAATCAAGAACCTATCTATCTCAGTCTTTAAATGTACTCAATGATCTGGCCTCCACAGCCTTCTGTGGCAGTGAATTCCATAGATTCACCACTCTCTGGCTGAAGAAGTTTTTCCTTATCTCTGTTCTAAAAGGTCTTCCTTTTACTCTAATGTTTCAGGTCCGAGAGTTCTGAGGAAGGGTCACCAGACCCGAAACATTAACTCTGATTTTCTCTTCATAGATGCTGCCAGACCTGCTGAGCTTTTCCAGCAACTTCTGTTTTTGTTCCTGATTTACAGCCTCAGCAGTTCTTTGGGTTTTCAGACTTTATTATGTGTTTGTTTATACTGAGTAAACAAAAGATCAGGGAACATTTCCTTCCTTATCTGTGATTCCATCTTGCTGATTGCCTGCTGTTCTGCATAGTCGTTGAAGGAAATTTGTTGTGCATTTGGGTAACCCCCAAATCTCAATATTGAGTGTATTTTAATTTGGAAGTTAAATATTAGGGGAGGAAATGACCTAGACTGTTTTTCTAGAAACCCGGGTAAAATTTTCGGCACCAGGTTCAAATCCCGCCACAGTAGATTGTGGAATTTGAATTTAATAAAATTCTGGAATTCAGCATCTAATGATGACCATGAAACCATTGTCAATTGTTGGGATAATCGATCACTAATGCCCCTTAAGGGAAGGAAACTGGCATCTGGTCCACGTGACTCCAAACCCATAACAATGTGGTTGACTCTTAACTGCCCTCTGGACTCTCTCCCTAAGGGCATTGTGGGTCTGCCTACAGCACATGGCTTGCAGTGATTCAAGAAGGCAGCTCACCCCCACCTCAAGGGGCAACTAGGGATGGACACAACAGCATGAATTTTTTTAAAAATTCAGAAAATTGGAGCAGAATTTTGGGAAGAAGTTTAAACATTTTTAAGGTATCTTGATTAAATCTCCCTGAACTTCTCTGCTATGTGCTATCTTTAAAAGTCTCTGTGTTACTGGGGAGATCACAGTGTAATGGCTGTGTTATTGCACAAGAAATCATAAGACCATAAGACATAGGAGTAGAAATAGGCCCATCGAGTATACTCCACCATTCAATGAGATCATCACTGATCTGATAATCCTCAGCTCCACTTTCCTGCTTTTTCCCTGTAAAGGTGTGGATCAGTATTCCAGGAATCATGACTTTAAATCCCACCAGGTCACTTCAACAATTTCAATTCAGTTTTTCTTAAAAATGTGGAAAAAAAATAGCTGGTATTGGTATACGTGACCATGAAGCTGTTTAATTATAAAATAATCCCATCCTGTGAATGAATAACACAAAAAGTTGTTGTAAATAATGCCTTAATCTGCAAGAAGGGATTCTCTTTCAGAAATGACGATATACTTTTGCAGTTATTAATTGTGAACTTTATTTTTCAGATATTACAAGCTGAATTCAGCTCAAAGTCTCACAGAAAACCTGAGCCACAAAACGATTATTGAATATCCTATATTACACATAGTTTTGAAAATGAACTCTCCAGAGTACAAGTTACTCAGTGATGGTAAGTTGTCTCAATTTAAAAACTCCCCATAAACATGATATTGCATTATGGCAGAGTGAGCTGTGCAATCTAAAACAAGTGGTTCAGTTTTAAACAGAGTGCTGGAGGGGACAGTTCTAAAGAAGTCAGACGTTGGACTCAAAGCATTAACCCTATTACTCTCTCTCTCCACGTGCTGCCAGACCTGCTGAGTTTCTGCAACTGTAAATATTTTTATTTCAGGGAGTGAGAGACCTGGAGTTTTTATGCAGATTTCCATGGGGGAGGGCGGGGGAAGTGGAAGTGGGAGTGCGGGCCTTTCATAATCCTCATTGGGCCCCAGCTCGAGGATTGAGTCCAATCCTTGGCCCTGCTCTATACAAAGGATATCAGGGTCTTGGAGAGGGTGTGGAGATTTACTGGAATGGCAGCAGGAATGAAGGACTTGAGTGAATGTAGAGAGACTGGAGAAGCTGGGATTGTTCTCCCTAGAGCAGAGAAGTTCAGGGAAATTTAATCAAGATACTTAAAATCTTGAAATAATTTGAGGGAGTAAATAAGATGTTCCCAGCGGCAGGAGGGTCAGTAACCAGAAGGAAGCAAATTGAAGGTGATTCGTAAAAGAATGAGAGGAGAGCCGAGTATTTTTGGAGAATCAGCGTGATCTGGAGCGTGCTGTCTGAAAGAGCAGTTTCAATAATAACCTTTTAAAGGGGAATTGGAAATTGGAAAAAATATTGCAAAAGTAGGTTAAGATCGATGAGACAGCTTTTCAAATGGTTTCTTTTCTGCTTTTATCGCTGTACGCTTCTATGAAATGTCAGGGTGTGGAGGTACCAGTGTTGGACTGGGATGGACAAGGTCAGAAATCTCATGACACCAGGGTATAGTCCAACAGGTTTATTTGAAATCACAAGTTTTTGGAGCATATGTGCTTTCTGAGTTCAAATAAACCTGTTGGACTATAACCTGGTGTTGTAAGACTTCTGACACTATGAAGTGTGTTTGTACTTTGGTACTGTCTGGTCTACATTTATTTTGTTTTATTCATTCGGCTGTGTGGGCATTGCCTGCTGGACCAGAGTTTATTGCCCATCCCTAGTCGCTCTTTCTCCGGACTTTCTCAAACTAACATACTCCAAAGTGTCCAGGAGTTGTACTTGCAGGCATACTCACCATTTTGGATGCCAAAATTTTGCCCAAAGTAAAACAAAAATTTGGAACCTTATCTGGGTGACTTACTTCTCTGGTGGCTGTTTAAAGACCAGCAGAAGCCTCCGCTCCTGCCACACACATGTCTACATTCACCAGAAGATACGGGCAGTATGCCTGGGATATATCTGGGGGAGATTGTGGCACAGTGGTAATTTCACTAGGCTAGTAATAGACTGAGCTGAATGGTCTGAGTCACAGACTCCAATCCCTCCATGGGAACTGGGAGCATTTAACTTTAGATCATAAAATCTGAGATAGGAGCTCCTCTCCATGACTATATCAAAGAAACACAGAAAATAAGTGCAGGAGTAGGCCATTCAACCCTTGAACCTGCACGACCATTCAATACGATCATGACTGATCATGCAATCTCAGTATCCCATTCCCGCCCTCTCCCCATACCCCCAATCCCTTGAGCCACAAGAACCACATCCAGCTCCCTCTTGAATATATCTAATTAACTGGCACCGACAGCTTCCTGTGGGAGAGAATTCCACTGGTTCACAACTCTGAGTGAAGAAATTCTTCCTCCTCTGAGTCCTGAATGGCTTACTCCTTATTCTTAGACTGTGACCCCTAGTTTTGGACTTCCCCAATATCCCCTCCTTTTTTAAAGAGTAGAGTTACATTAGCTACCCTCCAGTCCATTGGAACTCTTCCAGAGTCTACAGAATACTGGAAAATAATCACCAAAGCATCGTCTATTTCCAGGGTCACTTCCATAAGTACTCTGGGATGCAGAGCATCAGGCCTGGGGACTTACCAGGTTTTAATCCCGTCAATTTCCCCAGTATCATTTCCTAACTAATAAGGATTTCCTTCAGTTCCTCCTTCCTGCTGGACCCTCTGTCCCCGAGTATTTCCTGAAGATTATTTGCGTTCTCCTCAGTGAAGACAGATCTAAAGTATTTGTTCAACTGGTCTGCCATCTGTTTGTTGTCTATTGTGAATTCACCTGATTCTAACTGCAAGGGACCTACATTTGCCTTTACCAGTCTTTTTCCTTTCACATATCTATGGAAGCTTTTGCAGTAAGTTTTTATTTTCTCCACAAGCTTACTTTCATATTCTATTTTCCCTTTCTGAATTATACCCTTTATCCTTCTCTGCTGAATTTTAAATTTCTCTCAGTTCTTCCAGTGCTGCTTTCTCTGGCCAATTTATATGCCTTGTCTTTGGCTTTAACACTATCCCTGATTTCCCTTGTTAGCCATGGTTGAGCCACCTTCCCTGTTTTCCTTTTACGCCAGACAGGGATGTATAATTGTTGAAGTTCATCCATGTGTTCTTTAAATATCTGCCATTGCCTATCCACAGTCAACCCCTTAAGTATCCTTGGCCAGCTTATCCCAGCCAATGCATGCCTCATACCATTGACGTTAGCTTTCTTTCAGTTCAGGACCCTAGTTTCAGATTTATGTGTGTCACTCTCCATCTTGATGAAGAATTCTACCATATTATGGTCACTCTTCCCCAAAGGATCTCACATCACAATGCTGCTAATTAATCTTCTCCCGTTACTCAATACCCAGTCTAGGATGGCGTACTCTCTAGTTGGTTCCTTGACATATTGGTTGAGGAAACCAATCCTCATATATTCCAGGAAATCCTCCTCCTGGTTAGTCCAATCAATACGTAGATTGAAGCCACCTATAATAACTGCTGTACCCTTACTGCATGCATCTCTAATCTCCTATTTGATACAGCCCCCAACATCACAACTACTGTTTAGTGGTCTGTACACAAATCCCACTAACGTCTTTTTCCCTTTGGTGTTCCGCAGCTCCACCCCTACCAATTCTACATCGTCCAGGCTAATATCCTCCTTTACTATTGTGTTAATATTCTCCTTAGCCAGTTAAACACAATCCCACCTCCCTTTCCCTTCTGTCTTTCCTGAAAATTGAATAACCCTGGATATTGAGATGCCATCCTTGGTTACCCTGGAGCCAGGTCTCTGTGATCCCAATTCCATCATATCCATATCAATTACTGCAAAACCCCATCTGGTTAACTGACGAACTTTGGGAAAGGAAATCTGCTGTCCGTACCTGGTATGACCTACATGTGATTCCTGACCCACAGCAACATAGTTTTCAACTTTTACCTGCCCTCTGACATGGCCGAGAGAGCCACTCAGTTTAAGGGCAATTAGGGATGGTCAACATTCACCAGCCTTACCTGTGGCACCCACATCCCTCAGAAGGGAATTTATCTGAACCTTCAATAATGTGGCACTCCCTCAATATCTCCTGCATTTATGTAGTGCCTTTGACATAATAAAGTGTTGCAAGGTGCTTCACAGGAACAAGTTATCGAACAATGCGACTCCTAACAAGCTACATGTACAGAGATTGTGTTTGAATCGAAATATTAGCTGTTATCTGCTTTGTTCAGCATCAGCAGTCTGTCAGTGTATTATCAGTGTTACTCTGCAGTTTTTCTCGTTATTTAATGTGTATTTTTCTAATCCCCACATCCCATACAAAAGAAAACTCAAATGAAGATGCTCAGAACAGTACAGACTCCTCCTCAGAGAGTTCACTGGAGGAAGGAGAGATCAAAGACAATTCCGAAACACATCCCACCATGAATCCACATTGCCAATAGCAAAGACCTCCCTGTTTGATTAAGACTGTTGGGGTGGGGTCAGTTTCTGTATTTGTTGGATGTTATGCATTGATGCCAACGTTGTATTTGTATTTTAATTAATTTCTTACATTAAATTTGTTAACAATGTGTCTTGTATTTCTTTTTTACCTTCCCACCCTTGAAGTGTATATTTTTGCACTGATATTAGGTTTACATTAGATTTTATTGTCACGTGTACTCAAGTACAAAAGTACAGGAGTACAATGAAAAGTGTAATGTCACCACACAAGGTGCCATCTTAGGTGCATGTACCTGGGTACAGAATCTTAAGAACAAGGTAGAAAGAAAGAACAAAGTTAAAAGTTACACATGGAGATCTTGTTAGTTTTAAGTAGAAAATAAAGAAATGAAGCTGAAAGTTCAAACATTACAGTGTTTTTTAAGTACTTCCTTTAGCTGCAGAATCTTGGGAAGGTGAGAATCCATAGAACAAAGAAAATTACAGCACAGGAACAGGCCCTTTGGCCCTCCAAGCCTGCGCCGATCCAGATCCCCTATCTAAACCTGTCCCCTATTTTCCAAGGATCTGTATCCCTCTGCTCCCTCCCCATTCATGTATCTGTCTAGATACATCTTAAATGACGCTATCGTGCCCGCCTCTACCACCTCCGCTGGCAACGCGTTCCAGACACCCACCACCCTCTGCGTAAAGAACTTTCCACGCACATCTCCCTTAAACTTTTTCCCTCTCACCTTGAAATCGTGACCCCTAGTAATTGAGTCCCCCACTCTGGGGGAAAAAGCTTCTTGCTAACCACCCTGTCTATACCTCTCATGATTTTGTAGACCTCAATCAGGTCCCCCCTCAACCTCCGTCTTTCCAATGTAAATCTACTGAACCTCTCTTCATGGCTAGCGCCCTCCATACCAGGCAACATCCTGGTGAATCTTCTCTGCACCCTCTCCAAAGCATCCACATCCTTTTGGTAATATGAATCCCTACAGTGTGGAAGCAGGCCATTCAGCCCAAGCAGGCCATTCAGCCCAACCAGTCCAACCAGTCCACACTGATGCTCCAAAGGGTATCCCACCCACATCCTATCCTGGCATTTCCCATGGTTAAGGCACCTAAATGACACATCCCTGAACACTGACCAATCCACCTAACCCCCACATCTCTGGACTGTGGGAGGAAATTGGAGCACCCGGAGGAAACCCACGCAGACACTGGGAGAATGTGCAAACTCTACACAGACAGCTGCTCAAGGGTGGAATTGAGCCTGGCACCGTGAGGCAACAGTGCTAACCACTGAGCCACCATGCCACTCATTAGGGGAGAATTAGATCTGCTGGATAACAGTTCTGGAGTGGTCTGTATGTCAGTCAGAGACAGGAGCATGGATACACTTGTTACTGTTTCCTGTATTTCCATTTAGGGTATGGAATACAGAAAGAAGATGCTTATGATAGACCCGTATAAAACACCAACTTGCCCTCAGCTAGGGTATGGCATCCCGTTTCAGGGCACCACACTTTAGGTGGGATGCCAAGGTATTAGAGAGGGTACAGGAGAGATTCATAAACTGAGACTGTTGTCATTGGAGAAGGGATGTTGAGATTGGATTGAGGTATTTAAAATCACAAGGAGTCTGGACTGGACAGAAAGAAAGGAAATATTCCTGCTGAGAGCCAGCAGATACAGAGTTAAGGTGCTGTATTATATTCTTTCATGGGATGAGGGAGTCACTGACAAGGCCAGAATATGCTGCCCTTCCCTCCTTGTCCTTGATCTGAGAGACTCACTCACTCAGTTCCAAGGGCATGTAAGAGTCAGCCACATTGTAGTGGGTCTGGAGTCACACGTAGGCCAGACCTTCCCTAAAGAGTTTTTCAACGACAATTGACGATAGTTTCATGTTCACGATTACTGAGACTGTCTTTGGATTTCAGATTAATTAATTAAATGTAAATTTCACCAGCTGCTGTGGTAGGATTTGAACCCTTCTCCCCACAGCCTGAGCCTCTGTGCCGCGACGTTTTATCATCTGCAGCATTTGCAGGGTGTGGGTGAGGCTGGCTGGATCTTCTTGGATCCTTCCACCATGGGGAAGGTGGTGATGATCTGTCCGAGTGGCGTACGGACTCCTTCAGGATGCAAGATTCCCTTCCCTAAAGGCCGCTAGTGAACCAGAGGGACCTTTACAATGATCGACAATACTTCTGTGGTCATCATCAGACTTTGAATTCTAAATTCTTAAAAAATCTGAACCCTGGTCTCCAGAGTATTGCCTGGCTCTCTGAATTACTCCAGTAAATTCATCCAATGACATGGCCTTGAGGATGTGACTTGAGGAAAATCCTTTCCACACATTGAGCGGTTAGGATCTGACATGGACAGTGTTGGACTCTAATTGGAACAGGCAAAATGAGAGGGGTTACAGGAGAAGGCGTGGGCCTAGGATGTGGTGAATCGTTCATTTGGAGAGCTAGGACAGATATGACCAGCTGAATGGCCTCCTCCAGTGATGTAGCCCTTCTACCAGTCCTGAATTAGGATCAGGGATGCCCACGAGTCCCAAATCAGAGGAGTGTGAAGGAGTTTGCAGAGATGCTGAGGGACAGAAGGCTAGAGAGAGATTTGAAAACAACAAGACGACTATTGAAGTTAGTGGCAATACCAGACTGGGAGCCAGCTTTGAGCAGGAGCTGGACACATCCAGAGAGAGAGTTCTTGAGGCCACAGAGTTTCAGAGGAGTTAAACAGAATGAAGGGTGGAAAATGGGGATTGAAAATAGGAGGGCCGGACTTGCCAAAGTAGTAACTTGTGCAACCACTTGCTGCAATACCGGAAGGATTAATGCTGTGAAATGGCATCATAACAATCTCACTATCGCTGCTTAGTGTGTTGGAGACGGTCCAAGTGAAATCAATACAAAACATAACCAATAACAACATCCAACAATAACACCTACATCGACTGTAATCATGTCCAGATTTCATTTTGGAGTGTGTTACAATGCTGCAGTGAGCTAATGGCACTGTAACATCAGCCACAGCTGTGATAGGTTGCTGTCAGGAGTTTGATTCAATTCTCTTATCTCTGTCTTGTCTAAACTTGATTTCCTTCTCTGTTAGCAATTTTAGAGGTTATTTATCAGGTTTTGTCGGTCATAATATTGATGCAGCAAACAAACCGAACAAGATCCACTAATCAGATCCTCCTTATTCTCAGCAGCTTCCATATTCAAAACATCATCCTCCACCATTTCCACCAACTCCATGGTGATGCTGTTACCAAACACATCCTTCCTTCTCCCCTGCTGTGTCAGCGTTCTGAATGTTCTCTGTTCTCTCCGTGACACGTGATCCACTCCTCCATTTCCCACAGCATCCCCTTCCTTTACTCACCACATCATCCTGTGCAAACTCAGGAGATAGAGTCATCCAGCATGGAAACACAGACCCTTTGGTTCAACGCGTCTATGCCAACAAGTTTCCCCAAACTAAACTAGTCCCACTTGCCTGCATTTAGCCCTTATCCCTCTAAACCTTTCCTGTTCATGTTCCTGTCCAAATGTCTTTTAAATGTTGTAACTGTACCTGAATGCACCACTTCCTCTGGTAGTTCATTCCACCCTCTGTATGAAAAAATTGCCCCTTCGGCCCCTTTTAAATCTTTCTCCCCTCATCTTAAATATATTCCCCCTAGTTTTGAAATCCCGTACCCTGGGGGAAATTACCTTTGCTATTCAACTTATCTATGCTCCTAATGATTTTATAAATCTCTATAAGGTCATCCCTCAGCCTCCTATGCTCCATTGGTAAAGGTCCCAGCCTATCCAGCCTCTCCTTATAACTCAAATCCTCCAGTCCTGATAAACCTTCTCTGAACCCTCTCCAATTTAATAATATCCTTTCTATTAGCAGGGTGACCATAGTATTCCAGAAGGGGCCTCACCAACGTTTTGTACAGCCCCAACATGACATCCCAGCTCCTATACTCAATGGTCTGAGCAATGAAGGCAACTGTGCTAAACACCTTCTTAATCACCCTGTCTACCTGTGACACGACTTTCAAAGAACTAGATGCAGCAATTAAACCTTTCAGCTCTTCTCACCAGCCAAGCCTGAAGACTCATTTCCACATAAACCAGTGATTAGCATGCACTTCTCTCAATCTGGTCTCCTCTAATCCATACTCACAAAATACCGTCCCATCTAGTGGAGAGACCTATTGCAGACTGCATTGTTCAATTTTGCAAGCATAGCCCTGGGCTTCCAATTGTTTCTTGTTTTAATTCTTCCCCTTGCTGCTATTTTCTGCCGCTGGCCTGTTCCAGTGAAGCTCATTTTAAGCTCAAGGAACCACACCTGAATTTTCTTCTCGGTATTCTATAGCCTTCTGGACTCATCATCAATTTAACACTTTTCGATCACAACCTCTGCCTCCATCTTGTCATTCATACCCAATCTGGTCACAATCTTTCTTTTCTTTACCCATGACCACAAAATCATTTTTTTTTTAATTAATTCATGAGACGTGGGCAGCATTTATTGTCCACCTGTAGTTGCCCTTGAGAAGGTGGCAGTGAGCTGTCTTCTTCTCCTGCTGTGGGTTGACCCACAATACCGTGAGGGAGGGAATTCCAGGATTTTGACCCAGTGACACTGAAGGAATGGTGATGTATTTCCAAGTCAGGATGGGGAGTGGCTCAGAGGGAAACTTGCAGGGGATGGTGTTGCCATGTACCTGCTGCTCTTGTCCTTCTAGATGGAAGTGGACGTGGGTTTGGAAGGTGCTGTCTGAGGATATTTGGTGAATTTCTTTAATGCATCTTGTAGATAGTACACACTGCTGCTACTGAGCGTCGGGGGTGGAGGGAGTGGATGCTTGTGGATGTGGTGCCAAGCAAGCAGGCTGCTTTGTCCTGGATGGTGTCAGAGCTTCTTGAGTGTTGTTGGGGCTGCACCCATCCAGGCAAGTGGGGATTATTCCATCACATTCCTGATTTATGCCTTGTAGATGGTGGACAAGCTTAAACTGAGCTTTTTACCATCACTTAAATAAACACTGAACATGTACAAACCGCTGAAAGGAAGAAAGTGCCTTTCTGTTGCCCAGTGAAACCATTTGGTGCGTATCTGT